ATATAATATATACTTAATATATATATATATATATATATATATAAATAATATATATACACATATACATATATATATATATATACATATATATATATACACATATATATATACATAACGTATATATATATATATGTATATTATAACGTATATATATATATATATGTATATCCGAACATAGATCCGAGCCCGATAAGACCCACCCTTACTATATAGTACATTCCAAATGGTGAAATAGAGTTACTTACTCTCAGTCACAGACTGACATATTCATAATTCCTGAGTAAATTGGTTGCGTTCTCAGTGTTACTGATCAGTTAGAAATCACTATTTTTTAGAAGAACAATGTTTTATTGGCCTTTACACTTTTACAGGCCCGCCGATGGACAGATCTGAGACAATCGAAAAACCTTTTAAATTTTTATTACCTCTCTCTTTTAGTCTATACATACTACAGAGTGATACTAAATATTGAAATACTCTCTAGAGTAGTAGAGAAAGAGAGAGAGTAGCGAAAGACTCTGTCAGAGTCTCTCATCACTAGAGTAGTCTATTGTTTGGAAACAAATAGACTGAGTCGACAACTCGACACTCTGACTCGCGGTAGTCGGCAGACTCGACACTCAGCAGTCGACACGCGGTACTCGGTAGTCGACACTCGCAGCCCCACGGCCCACGGCTGCACCACATAGTGCTCGGCCTCGCACGGGATCTCTGAGAATTTTAGTAAACGCATACTTCGATTACTTCCAATGACAAAAGAGTAATAGCTGTTAGACCGTCAATTATAAGAGCTTATAATACTCGTATGTATGTATGTACTCTCTTGCGAGTCTTGCAAGTGGTATAGTTTTCAATTTTTCATACATCACCTCATTCACCTGGCCTCACGTCATTCACCTGGCCTGGTATACGATTAAGATATGTCGTATTAGCAAACTAGTTTCCGACCCACGGCGATATATCTTCTTAAGAGAACATCGTGAGGTATATTGCACTTGTGACTGTAATAAAAGACATGACGTCCGGACAAGTGGATCTAGCGAAGTAGTTTCCGACGGTCTGCCCAGGCTCCCATCCTTTCTCTACTTTTAAAATACATACTCTACTACTAGGAGTAGTAGACTCCGTTCTACAATTTCGGGTTCTCTCTGGGCCTGGGAGTGAGCCCTCACGGCCCACACACGTAACTCACTTTCCCCTTGAATTCCTACAGTCCCCACTTCCCTGTGGGCCCAGTCCCACTCCACAATGACAGGCGGCCGATGCGTCAATGCAGGTCTGCCGTCTGCGGGATGGCCCGCCGCCCGACGGCCAGATGGGCGACAGTCGACACTTCCCTTGTTGTCTTAAGCAAGAAGTTGAGAGTTGAGATATTTAAAAGTTTTTATTAGAGAGTTTATCTACGTATGTATGGTTTATCTCATTCTCAGATTTGAGATTGGCGAGTGGGGTTATCTTTAGTTTGTCTTTATATTTGTTTTTGTTTTTTATTTTGTTTGTCCAACTGACTAGAGAGTACTGATTTGCCGAGAAAAAAAAATGAAGTTTGCTCTTTTGATAATGACTAAATGTCATGAGTCATCGGCTCATACTTAAACATAGAGATTGTCATAGATGAAAGTTTCTTGAATCACAGACATATATTTAACTTACGGCAGAAACGCCTTTCTCGACAAACTGCATTTGTGTACCCTTGTTGCGATATAGTCTGTTGGTCAATTCCGACATCTTTATATCTGAACGAAGTAACATGGCCTGTTTAAAGTCGTACGTATACGACTATCAACTGACAGAACTGACAGTAGTACTCAATTGAGAAGAATCGCGTACTTGCGGGGCATTTTTGAGACCGATAGGAAGTTATCGTAATAGTCGATAGTGTTTTCAGCTGGTGGAAGCACATTGTAGTAAGATACCGACTTCACCATCATCGAACCGTTTCGTGATACGCAACGATAAATAATTATGGGACAAACACTCTTGCTGATATGGAAAAACGGACTACTCAAGGTACGACCAGTACAACTCAGCATGTCCAATGGGTGCATATTTGCATACCGGATTACTATTGCAAGTCAGCTCTGGTCCTTACTGTGATATTGTTCAAAACTAAATAGACTTGTGTGTACCTGGTGTTGTCGATCACAGTATGGTTTCTTATTCGTTTAGGAGACTGATTTGTACACCGTGAATTTCTGGAGACACAACAGCTCCGCATATTGCAGTACGTACAATACTGTATTGTGCGAATAAGTGCATTATTGTACGTACACTTATGGATCTTTAGGAAATTTTACTTGAGACGTGCCATAGATGCTGTTCTTAATATGTTGGAAGTATGTCTCATGTATATATTATTCAAGGGAATGCTTTTCGATATCGTTTAACAATTTCCATGAACTATTATTTATGCACGTACTGGTAATCGGCCATGTGCTAATCGATGGTATGCAACACTATATATATATATATATATACATATTATATATACACACATACACACATACATATATTTAATATATCAATTTATGAACGTATATTTATACATATGTGTATAATGTATCAATATATATATATATATATATATATATATATATATATATATATATATATATATATATATATATATATATATATATATAAATGTATCAATATATATATAAATGTATTTATATGAATGAATGTACATATATTTATATATATAAATATGTATATATATGTATATATATATACGTATATATTTATATTTATATATATATATATACGTATATATATATTATATATATACACACATATATATATATATATATATATATATATATATATATATATATACAGACACACATATATACACACATATATATATATGAGTGAGTATATATATATATATATTATTATGTGTATCGTGTTATATACTATATATGTATATATATATATATATTAATATATATTTAGTATATATGTATATATATATTATTATATGTATATACATATCATTATATATATATATATATATATATATATATATGTGTGTGTGTGAACGTATAGACATATGCTTATAATGTATTTATTCATGTATACATATATGATTGTTCTTGTATATCTATCTATATCTATAGTAATATATTCGTAAATAAATACACAATTCATATACATATTTTTTATGGCGATTGCGTAAGGAATGTATTATTATTGACTCATGTTCTATATATACATACATTCGCAATTGGATTTCTTATTTGTTTCCCAAATAGGTTCGATGTGATTGTTATTTGCTTCATCACCGTCACGCATACCTGTTAATCTTGACGTTCGCTTTCCCCACCATAGCCTGCTCAACAAATATATTTTATAATGGAGTACTCATTCAATATATTTATAATATTGACGTGCAGTATTATATTAGTATCTCATTATTTGTTTTCACACTTTCGAATATTCTACAACGCTAATAGGTTACTTATGTTCCTGTCACAGCTTCGGCAACCCGTCGCACTCTGTGTTGAGCTCCTCATGCCGCTACTGCTGATTGCGATAGCTGCGGGTGTCAAGTATGTAGTGTTGAATAGAATGACTTCTTAGTTACGGATCAGTATCCGCTATAGTAGATTTATTGTGGTCGCTAGAATTGTATTGGGGCATCTAGATATGCCCAAGTATGACGCATTGAGTGTAAAGCCAATTTATTTCGGATCCAATTCTGTATCTCCATTGTATGTACCTGTTCAATTTTTGTACGTGATCTGAAGAACGTTGTCATAGACGAAGTATGCTATATGCCGATGCGGAATCACTATTTCATTTTTTTTCTCCAATCTATTATGCTTGAAAGCGAGAATCTACCATATAAAAGTTAAGTGTATGTCTATTTATGAGATCAGATATAATATCATTACTATACAGGTCTACTTATGTAATCAAATACACTATCAGAGTCGTATAATCATCGGAGCTGTACCCGTATCGGCTTTGTGAAAGTCATGTGACAATGTCTTTCAACTCCTGTTATCTTATTGCCTGATTAGGCAAGCGTTGCCTTCTACGGATATCCCCGAGAGTATGCGCCGTTCTTTCTCGTTGCCCGCATTCTACAACGCAAGCGTACAGCGCACCTCAGACGACATCACTACGGCATCTCTCTTGTTTACGCGCCCTATAGCCTACACACCCACCGGGGGACAAGGTGAGAAGTCATCTGCGCGTGTATTGTATGTTTATGCAATATGTATATGTGCGTGTATGTAGTATGTATGTGGTATGTATAGGTGTGTGTAAGTAGCATGTACATGTGGGTGGGTGTTATGTGGTACGCTTACAATGAGTTTTAGGGGTTTAGAGTTTAAGGTTTCAGTCATGTGGCACGCACAAGCACTGGTTGCAGCAGATACACGCAAACCCTCGAGATCTTCATGCTCGGTACACATTTTAGAAAGATCGTTAAATCCAAAAGCGTAGGGTTTTAAGGTTTAACTTACTGTGTGAATGCGATGCGTCAACGTGTGGGTGAGAGCGGCTCATCCAGTGCAGTTGAACGAGTTATCTGTTGTGTGCGACACTTCAGGCGCACTTCAGTAATTAAGTCACAATTAATTCGCAATTAATGCACACACTACTGCATGACGTGTGTTGTCAACCACCTGGTCGCCACCATCAAGGCAACAATCAATCAGCTAATTAGTTAGCTAGTGTGAAACTGTCTATTACGTTCAATCTCTGTTGGTGTGTAGTCCCAATTCAACCAGCCATGCGACATGCTAGTTTCCCGTACCTTCCAATCGTATCAACTATGTCCACTCTCCCATACAAGTTCATATGTATGCCCCAGTAAACCCCCCATCCCCTTACTCACTCAACCGATCCACTGCCTTCGACCGACCACAGTTGATGAAGTGCTAGACATTGTCCGGGCGAGTGTGCTTGAGCTGGTGGGCTTCAATGCGTCGTTTGTGGGCTTTGATACTGAGGATGAAATGCTCAGTTATGCGGTCGAGGCCAACGAGCAACTGCAGCTGCTTGCTGCTCTGAGTTGGGCAAATGTATGTGTTTATGTGTGCATGTGCGTGTCTGTATGTGTGTGTATGTGTGTATGTGTGAATGTGTGTACCCAATCAATAGACGTACGTCTTCGTTCATTTGTGTGAAACACTTGTGTGTGCATGCAGTTGGAGTGATGTATAGATAGCTCATGTAACACTCATCTGCCATCTGCTTCTTATCCACTCAATGCCTGCTCGTATATAAATAGATTCTCTCTCTTGCTAATCGTATACCATCTTATCTTCATTCGATGTTCATCTGCTCTTATATACCATTTTGTCCTCATGCGATATTTCTCCACCCTTTCATATCTTTGTCTTCGTCCAATGTTTATTCACCCTTTATCTCCATCTATTATTCCTCGTACATTATCTCCACTTCATTCGATGTGTCTTTTCCATTGTAGATAGACCAGCCCAACACCCCACAGGCGACTATCCCAGCTGCTGCAGAGTACACCATCCGACAGGATGAGGAAGCGACGTACGAGACAGACAGTCAGTTCCCAGAGAGGATACCTCTGGGCCCGCGCACAGGGCGGCGGTAAGGGACGCTTACGTTGTTGGTGATGTTTGTGTGTGTGTGTGTGTGTGTGTGTGTTGGTGATGTTTGCGCGTGTGTGTGTGTGTGTTTGTGTATGAATTGCGTATATAAACATGCTCGAGGCATATGTCTAGAAAGTCATTTAATAACATCGCGAATCTGAGGGCCGATAGGTGATTTAGTTTATATCTCATTGAAATCTGAATTTGGAACGATGGATATGGATATATTCATATGTATACGCTGTGTGTGTCTGGTGGGGTGTTGTCTTGTGTCATGATACTATCCTCGTTTTATTGTCATCCAATGATTGAAACGACACGCTCACTCACTCACTGGTTTTAATTGGTGGCGGGGAGTTCATTAGCATAGCAACTATCTTCACATACAGCTGGTAATAAATATTCAATGAACCATGCCAATGTAGGCGATGAGAAGTGCAAGACTTGAAAGTAATTGGAACAAATCGGAACTAATTTAAACTAACTGGAACTAACTAGAACCAATTAAAACTCATTTGAGGGGCTATTTAGAACCAATTAAACCAAACTGGAACTAATTGGAGTCAAGTGAAACTATTAGTAGCTAACTGAATCTTATTGGTGTTGGCGGCTGATTGGCGACTGTGCAGGTATCAACAATTAGGGTTCGTGATGATACAAAACATGGTTGATCAGGCTATTATTCAGCAGAAATCGGGGCTGCCATTAGTCCCAATTCAAGTGATACAGCAGCCTGCTCCCTATCCGGCTTATACTGAAGTAAGTTGTTCGCGTCTAAGTCCTGTCAATGATGTCTATTTCTAAAGGGCAAATATATTATGTGGGTTGTTGATGTGCGCTCATGTATGTGTGCCTTCTGAGTATTTTGATGACCATGTTTGCAACGTTCTCAATGCATGGGCAGCTGTATAAGTGTATTCCCTTCCATTATCTACTGATACTACATATATATATATATATATTCTCATATATTTATATTCATATATTTGTATACATATATACATATATATATATATATATATATATATTCTATATATTCTATATATTATTATATATATATATATACTATATACAATATATATATTACTATATATAGTTATATATTAAGTAGTTATATTATATATATATATAC